AACCAACTACCGGAATGCACGAGTGATGGACATAGCCAGGCAAAATTATGGGCAGGCAGAATTATGGGCATACATGATACTGAGGTGGAGGGACAAAATTATTCATATACCGTACTGCTACCAGGTGACAGAAATTGTACTCACACCCGGAGGCTGTTGGGCCACGATGGGCGTGTCATAATCTCATGGTCAGTCATGCAAGGCCCACCCCTGGCTGTGGGTACACCCGCAATTTTGCCAGCCCGGTTGCTGGGCATGAGCATAATTTTGCGGTCTAGAACCCAGGGCCTGCAGGGCCTGGGTACACGTGCAATTTTGCTCAGGGGAAAAGTTGGGTACCATACAAGGTTGAACCAACTTGGACGGGTTCCGGGTATGTATGCAAATTTGCACTGCGACTGGGTATGGCAGTGGGGAACAGATGCAATTTTCCATCCGGAAAAGGAGGAGGGAAGGAATCCAAAGGATACAGAAAGAAGTTTAGCACAGCCTTTGCGAAAGGATGACATGGACAAAAATCAATACTGCCTTGGTAATGGACTTTTGTGAGTTCTGGACCCCGATCGAAACGACGGATTGTACTGTGACGGAAGCCGCCCCCGCCCGGTTTCCAGGAAGGTGACGGCTCCCACCAACGGAAAGGTGCCTCCAAAATGGGAGGCCACTACTACAGGCTGTGCTCGTATCACCTGGAGCAGTACTCCATGCCAAAGCTGGTGTCTTCTTTTTTCTTAATAAAAAAGAAGAAAAAAGGATGCGACATGTAAATCTAGACCAAAGGAGCCTTCCCAAAACAGTGACAAAGATATAGCAAAAGAAAAGAGGAAGAACAAAACGGAAATGTTCACTTATGTCTTTCGGGGCAGGTCTGGCCAAACTTCTTGTTTTCCTTGTAACAAGGACGCAGATGATGAGCCCTAAGTATCATGATAAGCTAGATTACCTGGAATACCTGGAGACCTGCACGGGTTTCTCCTCCCACCCTCCGCCTGGACATGTCAGAAGTGAGGGCATTATTTTGTTCTTCTCAGCGGACGGTTCCTATGCCCACCGAAAGCAGCCCGCATCCTTGTGGACTTGTTTTTCCCGATGTTGTTGGTTTGGAAAACTGGGGTCGCAAAGGGTTCATACTACACAGGAGTTTCAAGGGGGGTTGTACTACTTCATTAGGAGTGTGGAGACTTCACGTTAGCACCGTAACAACTGACATCTTTGTGTACATACAAGTGTATAGACAAAACGACTCCCATCTTGTTCCGACAGCTGGTAGGCGGGAACGAGAAGTATGAATTTTCTGCCTTATTTCTTGTTGGCACTGTATGTAAGAATGAGTTGGATCCTGAGTCTTAATGCTTTTGTCTCTTGTTTTCGAACTCGCAACGACATTGCCTTTCCTGGTGGCTCTCTCATATTGGGCACCGACCTCGATTTGTTCCAGTCCTCCCATTTTGCGCATATCTTGTTCATCAGACATTACATGAATCACAGAACCTGCACTCGAAAAAAGTAATGCTTTAATTCTTTGAGTCTTCCAGCAGCATTAGCAATGTTTTATAACTCCGTTAAGTTGACAGTTGAGTATACTCACACTAGGCCCTCAAGCTCACAAAGTAACAAAACGAGCGGCCAGATCGAGTCCTTTGATTACGAGTACTCAATCTGGCCACTCATTTTGCTCTGTAGCGATTTTGAGGGCCTAGGGTGAGTATGCCCTTACTCCCGCCGTTTACTGGGGCTTCCATGCGAAGCTTATGTCACTTCTCCTTTTCACCTTCCACCATCGGGCGGGTGTCGTACTCTATGCATCGCGTTGCCGCTTGATAGAGTCCTGTGTTTTCGATAAACGGTTGCTACCCGCTGTTGAAACTCTACTTCTACGCAACGTATGCGTTTTCCAGAACATTGCACGGCGCATGTGCAGCAGCATTTGGAAAAAAATGGCTGGGAAATGGACTGGTGGTTTAACACGGTGCGATGAAGGGTAGGTTGGGTCTACTGCAGGCTAGCGGCGGCATTGGAGCCATAAAGTCTTGAGTGATGTGCTCCTGCTCTGTCAGTGACCTTTTGCTCTCATCGTTTTCCAGAAAATCGTGGTTATAGGGGGTACATGCTGCCATTATATACGGGAAAGAAAATAGGGATTTTGTTTTTGCTCGCTTTTTAACGACCCTTTTTGCCTCTCAAAAGACACTCGCAGTGCAAATGGGATGCAAAAGAAAAGAAGAAGAAAAAAGTGATGCATAGCACTGCCACCGTCTGGGCCAAACCCTCCCACAATCCGGAGGGCCAGAGGCGGGCAAAATCATTGAGCGGTGGGACATCAGGGTTGAAGGTACTGGGAAGGTTGGACACATTGCGCACATTCGAAAACAGAATGGCGCAATGTCATTGAAAGTTCTGAAGTTGCAATGCCATCTGAAGTGAAAAAAAGAAAAAGAAAGGTGTCGCTGTTCTAGCGGTTGAAAAAATACCCCCACGTATCGGGGGATGGGCGATTGAAATCTGGAGATTTGAACTGAATTATTGAGAAATGGACACTCCCAATCTGCACAAGTCTTCTTCAAGCTGTACAGAAGATCTGAAAAGGATGCCAGCCATTCCAACTTGGATAGCAGCTTCCACATTTTTCCTCCTGTACAATCACAGCACAAAGCAAGAGATATCTAAGTTAAGTTCCATACAACACTCTGCCCCAGCCGGTATGCTCAGACTCCTCTCTCTCTCTCGCGCGGGCGCGTGCGCACGGCATGCTGAGACTATGTAGGATATCTTATTAATAAGTTGTTCTATATGTCTCAAAACGCTAAACGGTGAAACGGTACTAAACCCAGACTTCCACGTATGCATGCATGGTGAAGGGTGTCGCATTATAGTCCCATTAATAAGATATCCTATATAGTCCCATTTTTCCACCGGCAAGGTATCACTCCGTGCAGAGGTCAAAGCTGCTTACGGTTATTTTTCCTGGGCTGCCAGCCGGGATGCTCAGGTCACCCTGTTTTCCCGGGCAGCCCGGCCGTGCGAGGACCAGTGAAGGTCCCAGCAAAAAAAAAAAAAAAATCCAAAAAATTGGCAAAAATCCGAAAAAAAACAACTGTTATGCAGAAAAATAAACTGAACAACTTTTGCCTCAGGATCACATAGAAATTCTTTACCAAATTATATATATATATATATATCGTCATATAACGTCACAAACAGAACTGCCCGGTAAACCGTAGGCAGAGAGAGAGAAGAGGACAACAAACGAGGGGCTATATTGGCCCACCCGGGGCAAGTCGTCCCGGGCCACTCTGGTATTTTTCAAAAAAATCTATGATTTTTGTCATTTTTTCAATTTTTTTGGCAAAATTTTGAAAGATCTTCATTTGACGCTGGCAAGGTTGCTGGAGGCCATGGCGAGAGAAGGCTCCGGAAGGAGCAGGCTCAGTACGAGTGCGGGAGGGCCGAAATACTCGCCCCCTTCCTAGCGGGAGTTACTCTCATTCCCGTACCACCCAGTGACTGAGGTGCATCTTCCCTCCCGACTGGGGAGCCTCGGGGATGCAGGACCCCGAGTTCGAGGGGGTACGCCCTGGCGCTGGCACCCTGGTAGCTCCGGTCCAGAGGGTGATACTCCCGGTTGTGTGTGTGGCGAGGTTGTGTGTCCTGTCTTGAGTGATCCCTGTGTGTGGGTGGGCCCGCTGTGCCAACAGGTAGGCTGAACTCGGTCCGTGAAGCCTCCTGCCGAAATTCCTCCCTGGGCCCTATCCCCGACACCTCCCAACCCTTAAAAAAGAAAAAAGAAAAGGAAAAAAAAAGATAAGCAGTAGAATGTAGTAGTAGACAAACAAAACCAATCCGCTGTGCGGACAGTTGGACTGCTAGTTGTAGGGCATATTGATGATAAGGGTAACGAAAAACGATCAGGGGCCATCTGGAGATGCCAACAAGCGGCGCAAAAGTGCAATTTGACATTCACCATCTCTCCTCAGAGTAAACGTAGTTAGTAAATAGTAAATAGTAAATAGTAAATAGTAAATACTAAGTAAATAGTAAATAGTAAATACTAAGTAAATAGTAAATACTAAATACTAAATAGTAAATACTAAATACTAAATACTAAATTGTGAGTTTCATATGTATCTATTTTTGACTTGCCGGGGGAAAGGAACTGGACCATCGCGCCCCAGAATGATAGGAGCAAGAACCAGAAGGTTCTGTTAGAGAACCTGACTTTGAAGAGGACCGATGATGGTTCTGGAATTTTGGAATTCTTGGGTTGTCAAATTCATACAAAGCAGAACTACCCTTTCCTGGGTAGTGTGCAGATGTCCAAGAACGAATCTAGCATCTGGTCCGAGGATTCCTCGGCGAGGAACCTTTGAAGATACAGAATGGACAGTCCTTCTATTCATGGGGAAGCAAGAAACAGAAGAGCGCAGTAATTGGAAGCCATTTGCACCGTATTGACCAGAATACGTCAATACGATCTGAGATACCAGTGAAAGTGTTGGGGCTCCAACAGGAGTTGATGAAGAAAGATTTTCCTGTCAAGTTTGTGAATAGAGTGTTCCGACGTTACGGGAGCAGAAGAGACCAACTCTGGAAGAAGACCATGAACCTGATATGCGATACATAAGACAGGGTTTTTTGCTGTGTTTGTACACCGCTAACTGCGGGTTGTTCGGACAGGGTCCGGTCTCATTCTTTCATCCGTTTGAGCTTGTTCTGACTTTTTTGGTTGCGGTACTGGGGGGTTGTTCGGACAGGGTCCGGTCTCATTCTTTCATTCTTTTTGAGTTTGTTCTGATTTTGGTTTTATTTGCTTTGGTCGTCCAGTGGTCCCGAGCAGAGGACAGGAATCCAAAGTTGTGCAGAGATCAGCGGGAACAGGGCTCGGTCCTGTGTTTGACGGATCGGAGTATAGGAAATGCCTGTTATATTTTGGCGACCAATTGGTTTCGAACCGTTATCCTTTTGTTTTGTTTTTGTTTTGCAAAGGTCAGCTTTTTCGACGTTTGATTCGAATATCGGAGGAGAGAGTAGCTTAGTTTGGTGCCAGGTTTGGTGAACCGACGGACAATCCCACCTCAGACGAGGGGTACTTGCCCGACTGTTTTTTGAAGTTAGACTATAAAAGGGTAGACATTAGCGATACTATTCCTCTCGGGTTCCCGTGGCGTAAAGCCCATGGTGGAACGTGGAACGCGGTGGTTCTTGGGTGTGTTTGGATCAGTTTTGTGGTTAACCCTTTGTGGTTTGTCATCGTCTACTTGTCTACTGTCACTACTACCGTGTGTGAACCAACATCATAATCATAATCTGTTATTAAAAAAAATAATAATAAAAAAAAAAATCCTAAATACTAAATGCTACATAGCGATCGCATTGGAAATATCGGATGTTGAAAAAAAGTGGGGGGTTTTAATAAGGGCTGTCATTTGTCAAACATGGGTGAGTGTTTTTTTTTTTTTTGTTTGTTTGTTGTTGTTGTTGTTGTTGTTGTTGTTGTTGTAAGGTGAGATAAGAGTGTGGGCAATGGATAGCATGGGGATAAGGTTAGGGTTAGGGTTACCACCTGTCATCTACGAAGATGCATTGAGATGGCAATAGCCCGAGCGTGACTGCCGCGTCGTGATAGGCCTTTGCATCTGGTTTCAGCACACCTGCGAGGAAAAAAGCAAATTTGATGTGTCACATTGAAATATGTGAGAGGACCACAGTAATACGTACAATTAAGAATCAAAATGATTAAATAATTACTAAATATTATTCATATATAATAAAAATTATTTAGTTTCGTACATATTTGATAATAATCAGGGTTGCCAGGCTGAACGTACGGAGGCCCCTAAGCTGACCCCCGAACGTTCGGGCGTTCGGGTTCCCGTACGGGGCCCAAACTTGAAGGGGTTCGCACCCCGCAGAAAAATATTTTGGCACCTAAATATTATTTTGTTTTTCTGAAAATTGTTTTTTATGAGTTCTTTGTGATGTAAGGTATCTCCCTCTTGATTTTGAAGCCATTCTGTCCAGCCCCAAAAAATGAAAAATCCTCAAAGATGTGGTGTCAAAACTTGCTTGCCCACTCACTAATTTGTTTTTTCTCTTTTTTCACTTTTTGTTTTTCCTTTATTTCGGGGCATGAAAAAAGTTATTATTTTTTCCAACTTTATTTGTAGATTCTCTATTATGTAAGATACACATATATCAATTTTCATAGCATTTGTCACAGCCCGAAAAAAATGAAAAATCGCCAAAGATGGCGGTGTCAAAAACGTGCTCTCCCACTCAATAATTTCATTCTCGTTTTATTTTTTTTCATTTTCATTATTATTATTTATTTTTAGTATTTTATTGTTGTTTCAAATTTGGTAAAGAATTTGGATGTAACGTTGAGGCAAATGTTGTTTAGTTTATTCTTATGCATAACATATATTTTTTTTCAGATTTTTTAGAATTCTCTTTTTTCTTTTTTGTTTTTTGGGGTCCGCGTTCGGCCGAACGGCCGAACGCGTCGAGAGGGGGTGCCGAACGTTCGGGCGTTCAGCCCGTCCCGAACGCCGGCAACCTTGATAATAATAATAATAATAATAATAATAATTATACTATTATAATAGTTCTTTTTACTTTCGCTCGGGCTGGCCAACAAAAAGAGGGGTGTTAGGACTGTCTAGGGGTTCGTGCTTTTTTTTTTTTTTTTCGGCATTTTGTATTTTGAGAAATTTTGACTTTATAATAATAATATCTGCTCTGAAAAGATCAGCAGCAGACCTATGGTCTTGCTTTTTTCTTTTTTCCTGTTTTTTCCACCCAATGTTATGAGAGCATGAAAATCGTTAAAGTCAGTGCGCACAAAATTTTGCGCATTGCCACTAACTGCCCGTGGCCGGTGGCCGGTGGGCCGAAAGCTGCCGTAGTCACCCAGTTCGGAGCCCACTCGCAGGAGTGCCATTTTTTCGATCATCCTGGAGACCGGGAGTTTATCCTCCCCCCCCCGCCCCCTCCCTTCTCTTTTTATTTCTTTATTTCCTTATTCAAATGTTCCTCTTATTGAGAACGCCAGTTTTTCATTGTCGGCAACGGATTTCCTGTAAGGTGAGCGCCAGCACAGCAACATCACAGGATATATGTTATAACTTATAAGTTATAACATGTGTACTTCCGAGAAGTTCCGTTCCGAGAAGTTCGGTTCCATTCCGAGAAGTTCCATTCCGTTCCATTTCGTTCCGTTCCGTTCCGAGAAGTTCCATTCCGTTCCGAGAAGTTCCGTTCCGTTCTGAGAAGTTCCGTTCCGTTCCGAGAAGTTAAGTTCCGTTCCGTTCCGAGAAGTTCCTTTTCGAGAAGTTCCGTTCCTTGCCGAGAAGTTCCGATCCTTTCAGAGAAGTTCCGTTCCGTTCTGAGGAGTTCTGTTCTGTTCCGTTCCGTTCCATTCCGTTCCGTTCCGTTCCGGCAACTTGTGAAGGATACAAGAGAGCTTCAAATGTGCGATTATTGTTGTGGTTTTTGTTTATGTGTATCCGGAACTCAACAAAAAAAACACACTGCGCGTGAAATCAATGAAAGTGGGAAGCTCTCATTATGTAGTGAGGGTGTTGGTCCCAAAAGTGTCCCGCCCTTCTCTCGCTCTTCCTTTGGTGGCAAGAGTGGTTGCATGGTGCGATGTGGGCGACGGCAAGCCGCCAAAACGGCCCGTAGCGGCTTGCAGCTTAATTTCTCTTCTCGCAATCGAGCGGATCAAATCGAGGAGCAAACAAACTGTTTTGCAAAGTGGAGCTGTCATTGAAGGGGGAAGAAACGCAGGCAGGGAAGGAGAACTGGATGGGGGAGCCATAGGAGGAGGCAGTATGGGAGAAGCGAGGAGAAGCGAGGAGAAGCGAGACGGAAGAAGGGAGAAGATGGGGGGGGAACATGAAGAGGTGATGTTCTGTTTAATTCATGTTTTTTTTGGGTGATGTTCTGTTTAATTACCAGTTCGACATGAGACAAACGTCCATTCGAGATATCGTGACAGCTGCAACTTCTCATCGATCATCTGATACCTGCAGGGAAAGATCAACGATCCACCCCAAAAAACATTAATTAAATGACGTAACAATTTAACAATCCAAAGAGAGCATCAACCATGTTATATACTATATCACCTGTTGCGGCTTCGCTCGCAATAAAACAGGAGGGAATGCCAAAGAAGGTTGTTTTTCATGGCTACGCCGGACCCGGACCCGGACCCGGACCCGGACCCGGACATTTCCGGACATGGAACCGGACCCGTGTCCGGTAGTTTCCGGACGTCCGGAATTCCGGACATTTCCAGGCCTCCGGACATGGGAGGATCCAGACGGTCCGGATGTCTGGACAGGTTTCCGGACCAATAAAAAAAATAAAATAAAAAAATCTGAAAAAAACTTAAAAAAAGTATGATATGCGGTATAACAATGCAAACCACTTTTGCCTCAGAGTCATGTCAGAATTCCTAAAAGTCAAAAACTATAAAAAAGCTTACAAAACAACTTTAGAAACTAATAAAAGGTAATGAATTATTAATAATTAAAAAATTGGGGCTGTCTAATAAATTATTATAGAGAGAGAGCATGTCCGGACCCCCAAAAAAAGCATAAACGGGCCTGAAAAAACTCCAAAACAATTTTGTGGGCTTGGCTCCTCAATGGGGAAGGGTCCTGGACCGTTTTTGTTTTCTTTTTTCCCTCGAAGTTTGGTAGATCCGGACCTTCCAGACCGGACGTCTGGAGTCCGGACTGAATCCAGACCGTCTGGACGGCTGTCCGGACGTCCGGATCATAGCCATGTTGTTTTTTTCTTTTCCCGCAGCCATAGATACCTTGGTCTTTGAGGTGTGTTGTTCGCAAAGTCCTTACCTTCGCAGCATCCTTTCTTTTTTTTTTTTTTTCTTTTTTTCTTTTTTTCAGATGTGGAAGGAAGAACTCTTGCTGGAATCCAAACGCTCAATGCAATCGTCCACACAGCAGTAACATCCTATCATGGTACACTACCTTCTTCCCCCGAATACAACACATACGGTCATTATAGCTGTATTTAGAATTTTGGACTGAAAGACACCCCAACTGCAGCAATAATGACCGGCGTATGTTGTATTCGGGGAAAGAAGGTAGCGAAAGTGACAGTCATTGGTCTTTCTTTCTTCAACAACAAACACTTGTCAACGCAGGAAACAAGCCGCTTCTCACTTTACCACATTCCTGTCATATATATAAATATATAAATATATATATCGTCACAAACAGAACTGCCCGGTAAACCGTAGGCAGAGAGAGAGAAGAGGACAACAAACGAGGGGCTGTGACAAACTGTTTCGTCGGAGTTTCACCGACTCATCAGGAGGCTGAACCCTCAACAGTCTGCAGAATCCCCTCACTGATTACACTGTAAATGATAATCTACCTTAACCAAAATCAAAGTAGACTATCACTCACCCACACCAGATGGAAAACTCTACAGATTTATATATAAACTTACAAAGAAAGCTTGAAAAAGGGAGTAGGTGGCCTCCAACATTCCACTATCTTACGGGACCTAGGCATTTGGCAGTTGTGGAGTCCGAGGATCGTGGCGATTCAACTCTATATTATACACACACCCTTCGTCACGCACCGATACGCGAGCATATGAACTCTTTCACATGCTTAAACCACCCTAGTACACCCAGGACTTTGTACCATCCATTCAAGTGTAGTTGAATTTGGCTCAACTGCCCAAGGCGCTTGCAGAGCGCGCACTTCACTGGTTAAAGTGAGATAAACAACCACAAAAAAAACAAGGCCTGGACGCGCTGCACTGCACGCCCACCGTTTCCTGAACCGCCAGCAGCGCACTTTGCTTGTTTTTTTGGCTAGCTCCACCAGCCATTGTGTGGTCCGGGGCTGGGTCCCACTTACACGAATTAAGAGATATTGACCGTAGATAGCAAAGATCAACGGCCGAAATCTCCTAATCCGTGCAAGTGGGACCTTGCCCCCGGTAGGCCTGCGCCACACACTTTTCAGAGTGGGCGACGAACAAATTTCTGCAAGGATGGGGTCATGTACTGGCGGTTTAAATTTTAAAACCACCACCGCTACTCATCCCCACTGCTCTAAGGTCCCATTCACACCGAGAATCCAATCTTTCTCATCCTTTTCCGAGGGATCGCTATGAAAGTCCGAAAATTCAGCTTTTTGTCTTACCTCCCTCCCACCATCTATTCTAGGTCACAACCCCCAGCCCCCCCAGCCCCCCCAGCCCCAAACCAGAAAGGGTATGAAAATTCATTTTTTGGCTTCCCCCATCGCCCAAGGGTGGTGGGGAAGGCCATTCCTCGTCCTCCTCCTTCCATCTGCTTTTCATACGCTTTCACGCTTGGTCTGTTTGTCAAACAGATCGGAAGTTGCTATTCTTTCCCTTCCCTCCTCCATGTCCCTCGGACCCTCGGTCGCTGGATTCACACCTCTCCTCATCTTTCACCCTCCCTCTTAATTGTGAACTTGATTTTCCACCCTTCTGCTTGTGACTTTGCTCAAATTGCTCCCACTCCAGACTCATAGTAAGGGGTACTTCGGTAATCAGGCCCTTTACGGTTCCACATAATTCTATTTGTGAAGGGGCAAAAAAAAGCCTACTATGTGCCACTGCTCATCCTCCCGGAGCCTTTTCTCCTTTTCTCCCCCTGAGCCTGCTCCTCCGGGAGCCTTCTCTCCCCATGGCCTCCAGCAACCCTGCCAGCGTCAAACGAAGATGGGGGACTAAATGTACCAGTCAGGAGGGGAAAAAAAAATAAAAAAAATTACAATAAGACAAAATAAGATGGGGACTAGACCTACTAGACCTACCAGCTCGAGAGAATAAATCATTCAATCAATCAAAATAGCTTTAACACTAGGCTACCAGAGTGGCCCGGGGTCACTTGCCCGGCCGGGCCAAAATATATATATATATCGTCATATATATATATTGTCACAGAACTATTGACTAAGAGCATGAGCATGTGAAGTAGAAGAAGAAATAAGATGAGCAAAGAAAAGAAAAATGAAAGGAAAGACAGGCAAAGAGACAGACAAACCAGAATGACACTTTGTTTCACAGTATTATTATTTCTTTCAGTCTTTTACAAAAATTATTTACACTGAATCAAAGGATCAAAAACAAAGACACATTGAAATCATTCAGTTTCTCAGTCTTCTTAACGCCTCCT